AGAGAGAGAGAGAGAGAGAGAGAGAGAGAGAGAGAGAGAGAGAGAGAGAGAGAGAGAGATTGCAGCCAGATTGATTGATTTATTAGTTGTGTGTGTGTGTGTGTGTCCGCTTTCCCGTCGTACTTGGACGGCAGCGTGGCCGCCCTCTTGTCCACTATGGGATCGCTGTACTGAACGCCAGTAAGGACTGTGGCGTTTTGGGGTGATGTCCCTGCATTTGGGACTATGACCGGTGCAGAACTGCGGGCGCTGTCGCTCGAGGAGCTGGCACCGATTCCTGCTCTTGCCACAGTTCCACTGACCCTTGTCATGAGGACTGTGTTGGACTAAGAGACTAGGACTACAGCAGATTGAGGGTTAGGAGGGCGGGGGGCAGAGAGTTGGGACTGTTTGAGGCTGGTTATCTCAGCCTGCAGCTCTTGGTTCCGCTGCTCCAGCGCTGTTACACGGGACTCAAGGTCTTCCAAGTTCCGCGGTTGAACCAAGGCTGCCACAGCAGCAGCTAACCTGTCCTGGAATCGGTCAGCATTGGCTTCCGGGACCTGTAGGAGGGCCGCCTGAGCAGCTATGTTTGTAGCTCAGGCTGCTGTCTCTGCCTCCCTTTCCCTCTGTACGGCATCATCATACAACTTTTGGAAAAACGGTTTCCCGTCCTCGTCCGCTGCGTCCAGCATGGCCTGCCATTGGGAAGTTTTGATATCTGCCATGACGGAGGAAGGGGTGTTAGCAGATCTCTCAAGAGGGGTCCGCTCTCTCCTCACGTTTGGACGAACACTCCTCTTGCCCCTCCTCACACCCTCAAACAAAACACCTTCTCTCTCTCTTTCTTCTCTTCTCGCTGTCTGCGCACGCGTCTCGATACTAGACATAGATAGTTCAGATGCAAGAAACAAGCAAAAAGTTACACAGAGAAGGGGTAGAACTCTTGGCCGGAGCGGCAAATCATTTGGACTTAGAGAATGACACGCAGCAGAATGAAAGAATAAGTAAATAAAAAAAAAAAAACAGATGAGAGAACTGATTTATAGAACGGGCCCGATCAGATCAGTTGAAGATTCCCTTTTGTCTAACCTTACAAGGGACATGCATCACAATAAATCAGCCGAAGAAAACTAACTGCAGCAATGGAGATTTCGAGGGGTACAGACGGTTGCCGAGTCAGACGCGGGGCAGTATGTGATAACAGGCGGTAAGACCAGTCAAGATCCCCTTGAAAGGAATGCCCTTGCTAGCCGTATGTCCCCCAAGTTCAGCACAGCAAAGAGATGCACAGGCAGCAACAGATTTGGGCCCAAAAGGTCCTGTCCCGTTGGGCCTGGTCCCACTGGGTCCCAAAAGGTCCCAAGTAGGTCGTGGACCAGGTCCAACGAGATAGGTGCACCAGGTGAGTCCCAAACTGCCTCTACCTTACTGAAAAGGAAAAGACAACTTTTAGCAAGAACTTACCCCTACAACCATTCAGAAATGAAAAGACAATGCATCGTAGAAAGATATGTCATTTAGAATAGATACATCATCCATCCATCCATCAGGTGAGAAAGCAATCCACATGCTCAGACACACAACCAAGACCGCAGAGAAGAGGAAGAGAGCCCAGCACACCCCCAACAGGCCATGAAGTACCAAGCAACCTCCCACGGGCATAACCAGGTCACATGGCACTTACCTGTGAGGCCCGGCCTCCAAAGATGGATAACGAGTCACCCCCCTCTCTCATGATTCCTCCTGACCCCTAGCTACCACTACACGAAGTGTCCTAGCATGACTAAGAGGGCCTTCCTACACCCCTGTTGCAAAGCTGGATCCCCCGTCGATGTCTGAAGACCAAAGTAGCAACTTGCAGCAATTCGATGCAGATATGGAAGCCTCCGATCAAGTCTCCCTTTCGAAGGGAAGCCCAAAAGTCACTCAATGTCTTCCTGAAGTGCAGATTCTCGGTGCGAGTACCTCTCACTCTCTACTCCCTCTCGCTTACTCCAATCAGCCTCCTTCGTGTCTCGCCACCCCATCCATTCACTCAGTCAACCTGGCCAGGTCAAATGTCGACTCTACATGACCTAACCAGGTGGGGGCAGTATCCACATACCTCACTGCCCCACTTAACCCTAACTTCCAACCCTAATCCGAGATTTGGTTAGCCCTGACCTAACTCAGAATTAGGTTTAGGGTGACTAACACCTCTCGCCGGCAAGTAAGTCCGCTCCGATACCAATTGTTACGATCTTGGTCATTTCCCAAGTGGAAATTCACAATGAAAGACAATGTCGCCCAATTGCGAAAGAAATGAAAGCACTTGCAAAGAGATAAAGACTAGAGGAGAGAGAGA